ATCAAATAGATTGAGGAAGTTGTGTGTTAGCTTTCCCACCCACCCAGACTGGTTACCCACAACATAGGAAAGTTTGTTAGTTTCTCAAAATTTCAAGACGGGCGTCGCGAGTGACAAACTCCGGAAGCCCGGTGGCTAATTTATCTTGTTACTTTGGAAGCAGGGGCAAGCTGTCGCTTTCAAAAAAGCCAAATCTTTACATTTTGAGCTTGGATTGCTTTTTTTACATTGCGCCATATGAACAGTTTATCAGCGGCTGGCCAAGCCCAGAAAGGAACCAAATGACCAGATCTTTACATATCCAGCCTGGATGGCAATTTTTACATTGCGCCATATGAGCAATTTATCAGCGGCCGGCCAAGCCCAGAAAGGAGCCAAAAGACAAGATCTTTACATTTCAAGCCAAGCTGGCCGGTTTGAATTGCGCCATATGAACAGTTTATCAGCGGCTGGCTAAGCCCAGAAAGGAGCCAAATGACAAGATCTGTACATGTCAAGGCAAGCTGACCGTTTTGACATTGCGCACATGAACAGTTTATCAGCGGCTGGCCAAGCCCAGAAAGGAGCCAAATGACCAGATCTTTACATTTCAAGCCAGGCTAGCTGTTTTGACATTGCGCAATATGAGCAGTTTATCAGCGGCAGGCCAAGCCGAGAAAGGAGCCAAGTGATCAGATGAGCGGCTGGCCAAGCCCAGAAAGGGCCAAGTGGCCAGATCTGTACATGTCAAGGCAAGCTGACCGTTTTGACATTGCGCACATGAACAGTTTATCAGCGGCTGGCCAAGCCCAGAAAGGAGCCAAATGACCAGATCTTTACATTTCAAGCCAAGCTGGCCGTTTTGACATTGCGCCGTACGAGCAGTTTATCAGCGGCTGGCCAAGCCCAGAAAGGAGCGAAATGACCAGATCTTGACACTTCAAGCCGAGCTGGCCGTTTTGACATTGCGCAATATGAACAGTTTATCAGCGGCTGGCCAAGCCCAGAAAGGAGCAAAACGACCAGATTTTTACCCAAGCCCGGATTTTGGATTTGGAAAAGAAAAGAAGCAACGGCTTGAAGCTGGCCCAAGACAGAGTCGAAGAAGCTTTTGAGCTTTGATTGCAATTTTTGCATTGCGACAGTTTATCAGCGGCTGGCCAAGCCCAGAAGGGAGACTAATGACCAGATGAACCTGGATGGCCATTTTTGCATTCCGCCATATGAACAGTTTATCAGCGGCTGGCCAAGCCCAGAAAGGAGCCAAAGGGCCAGATCTTTACATTTTAAGCCTGGATGGCCATTTTTACATTGCGCCGTATGAACAGTTTATCAGCGGCTTGCCAAGCGTAGGAGGCCAATTGGCAAGATCTTTGCATTTTGAGCCTGGATTGCAATTTTTTGCATTGCGCCGTATGAACAGTTTATCAGTGGCTGGCCAAAGAAGAGGCTCCGAGCAGGGCTGGGACGGCTAAGAACAGCTTTTGGAGCTGGGCCAGCCCGGGACAGAGCCAAGACCTGTCCCTTCCCAAAAGAAGGAATCCTCTTCTGGGAGAAGAAGAGCCCAAGGGGGGGCGAACCAAATCGGAAACACTGATACATTAGGGTTTAAATCTCCATTGAAGAGAAGATTTAGGGTGTCTACAGCGGGGCGCCTGGGCCCTCCCCTAAAAGGGTAGAGGGCCCAACGGCGCCATGCGGAATGAGGCCCACCCCTACCACCCAAAATTGCACCCTTTTAGGGTTTAGGGTTCAACCCCCTTGTCTTCCCCCGAGCTCGGGGGAAAAAGAGCTGACGGCTTGGCCGACGCCGCAGCAGATTTTGAAATCCGATGTTCCTCCACTGGCCCGGCAAGTGCTTTGCAGGCGTCGCCCAGAATCTGGGCGACCAAAAAGCGTCGCCCAGAATCTGGGCGACCAATTCTTGAGGCATTTTCTGGGCCTGCCGGGGGCTGTTCGGAGGCTGTTCACAAAGCTGAAAATGGATTAAAAAAGCAGGCAGGGCTAGTCCCGGAGAAAAGCGTGCGCGGCCCGGGGCCCAGGCCGTGGCGCCGGGGCCGAACTTTGCCCGCAGACGCAATGTAAGGAGCGGAAACGTCGTTTTTTACATTCCTAGAGGTTAGAAGCGAGAGTCACTGCTGAAGCGCGTAAGAGTCCATACGGTAGACTCCGCCGCCAAGGCGACCGGGAGGAAGCCTGGTGTCGGACAGGGAACCGGAAGACTTTAAGGCGGGTCAGGTCCAGCGTGGAGGCATACTCAACTTCTGGGCGGGGGGGGCGCCTCTAACATGCTGGTCATGCGCATTGTTGCAAGTTTGAACTTTGGAGACGCCGTCAATTTTCCAACCCGCCCTGTCAGGACCCGCTGGGGAGCTGGACGACGCGCCCTCCAGCAACCGCAGCTGGCGTGGCCGCCGCGCGCATCGGCACGAACGGCAGCTGGAGAGCAAGTTCTTCGGAGGCTTCAAGTGAGGGGGCGTCTCACGTTTTTTGCGGTAATCTGGGCTTGCCCTGTTCCCTTTTAACCCTTTTAAAGTGCGAACCTTTGTGAGCCACAACACGCAAGGGAGAATGGAATGATTTGAGTTTTCACCTAGCCTTTTGGCTCTTAGGGTGGGAGTGGTGGGAAACACGATAATACATCGTGGCATTTGCAGAATTTGGGGGTTTGATATTTTTGTGCAATGGATGCATATGAATCGCATTTGCTACATTGCCGGCGCATGGTATGGGGCAGTGTTTACAGGCCAATCTGGGAACAATACAGTGTTCCAGGAGCTGCTGTATCTGTACCTTGCCAGGTCATACCGTCCGGTATTCTGCAGGTGGAGAGGCCGCTTCTTGAGCCTGAACGTGCTGATGACGATCGCTTGGAGGCGCTGAAGCTGTTTAAGGTCAGGCGTACTTCCTTAGACAGATCATGGGAGCAACATTGCAGTTCGCTACGTGCAGCTGCAATCAGAAAGTGGCATGGTATTATATGCACCTGTTTGCCGGCATTTCGGCTTGGACGTCAGTGGAACAAACAGGAACCGCTTGGTGTTGCAATTTGCACTGACTTGCGTCATGTATTTGCAGGAAAGTCGACTGGCACACTTCACAATCGATCTGGACCAGTGCTGCGGTACATTGCATGGTGTTCACGATTTGGGGTCCAGCCATTTCCTCTCACTGAGCAGGTTGCATATGATTTCATGAAGTATGAGGCGGTGAAGGCTTCATCTACATTTCTACGTTCGTTCATTGTTTCAGTTGCTTTTTCACACTATGTACTTGGGTTGACTGGAGCAGACTCGGTCATGCAGAGCAGCCGAATCACTGGACTTGCACGTGAAATGTATTTGCGAAAAAGGAAACTGGTGCAGCGGAGACCACTTACAGTGAAGATGGTCAAGGCTCTTGAGGATTTTGCACAGGATGATTCCAAGTCCTTGATCGACAGGGTTGCAGCTGGCTGCTTTTTGTTGTGTGTGTATACGAGGGCAAGGTTCTCCGATATGATTCACATGACTGCCTTCAAAGCGGATGAGCTGTTCATCGACGGGTTCCTTGAGGGCTATATTGAATGCAGTGTGACGAGATCGAAGAGCGCGTACACAACAGAGAGGAAAACGCAGTTCCTTCCAATGGCAGCCCCAAGGCGTGGTCTTTCAAGTGGAGACTGGTTTGCATCATGGCAGGCTGCATCAGTTGCATCGGGGAAACCAAGGGGAGAGGACGTGCCTAACTTGCCGGTGCCCACGGAGGGTGGATGGAGCAAGGTACCACTCACTGCTTCGGAAGGTTGCACTTGGTTGGTGTCAATCCTCAAATGCTGTGGGTTTGCAAACGAGGACTTGGTCAATGTGGGAACTCACAGCTGCAAGAGTACATGTCTGTCTTGGTGCGCAAAGTATGGAGTGCCATTGGATGTCAGAAGGTATTTGGGATTTCACAGTGTGCCTGGCGATAAGACTGCCATTGTTTACAGCCGTGATGCTGCAGCAGGGCCGCTGCGACACCTTGATGAAGTCCTTCGCTCAATTCGTGCGGGAACCTTTGACCCTGATACCACAAGGAGTGGGTATTTCCGTGTGGTGGCCGCTGCAAGCTCAGACAAACCTGCTGATCCTGTGGTGTCTCGCCAGCCTGTGGTTGTACCGGATGACCCTGAGGTCAGATCCGAGGTTGGGTCAGAAGACACTGAGAGTGAGGATTCGCAGGATGAAGAAGATGATGAGAGCGGCAAAGAGGCTGTGGAGCATGCGCTTGAAGTGGTAGCTCAGCCTTGGGGTGAACACCAACCTGATGTAAGTGCTCGTGAATTTCCGGATGCTGATTTGTTTCGACACCGGCAGACACGATACATTCATGTCGCAGCAGATGAGGGCGGAGCACGGTTCAGGTGTGGCCGTGACATCTCAGAGAGGTACGTCAAGTTGGAACACCAACCTGATGTAAGTGCTCGTGAATTTCCGGATGCTGATTTGTTTCGACACCGGCAGACACGATACATTCATGTCGCAGCAGATGAGGGCGGAGCACGGTTCAGGTGTGGCCGTGACATCTCAGAGAGGTACGTCAAGTTGGACGTCAGGCCTCAATTTTGCTCTCCGCAGTGTAGACAGTGCTTCAGAGTTTGACTCTGCGTCATGCATTCAGCACTGAATTGTGCGGAGGGGGAAGATGGGTGACACTCTAAGAGTGGCACCCCCGTGTTCACCCGCCACTTGAGTGGCATAGCCATCAGCTGAAAAGATGTGCTGTAACCATTGCCCTGAGGTTGCACATCTTAGTCGCTTGCGCGACATGGTCTTGCGACCTGATGATCCGCTGTGTGTGACTGCGGCTCAAGACATGGGGGCTATGAGCTGCATGAATTTCATGTCTTGTCATTTTGAGTGATTGCTGTTTGTTTTATCTCCCCCCCCCTTTTGACCGCTTTGTGTTCATTCTGAAAGGGGTGGTGAGCCCTGTTTGAGCGCTTGAAGGGGTCTGGTTGGTGTTGAATAAGTCGTTCACCGCTTTATACGTGAGTGTTCCACACAGTGCTTGAGATAGGATCGGCCATGGCAGTGACTGACAGTGAGCCAAACTTCAGAGCCAGGGCAGTTGCATTGGGATTGGATGAGCCAACAATCAACTCTCTGTGTACCAATGGCATCAATACCATTGCTAAGTTTGCTTTCTCCAGCTCTTATGTTCCTGGCGCTGCGGATGAAGGACCATTTACGGATGCTATGGCTACGGCTCTCGGCGGCGCTCCCAATATTGGAACACTTGCCACGCTCAGGCGGTTGCTCCATGAATCCTTCGCCATGACTAGTGCTGAGCTCAAAGCATCGGTGGAGCGTGTTGAGGATGCTCCTCCCAAGAGGCTTGCTCAGCCCGAAAGGGCGGACCGTTTGCAACGCCAGAAGCTCAAGTTGACCGGCCTTAGGATTGAGGGTAAGCTCGAACCGAGTGATCGGTTGATTGATATTGCAGTTGGGATGTACGAAGACAATCGCTTGACTGATTTGGACCCTCAGAAATGTACATCCAAAGAGCAAGAGGTTGTCAATGCATCGGGTAAGGACGACAAGCACATTGCAATTGATTCATCAGGTTCTGTGAGAGTGCGCGACAAACTTGGTAAGCTGGACGCTGACATTAGCAGTGACATGTTTCTACGACTTGCACTGATGCGGCGTGGGCTCGCCCTTGATCAGGCAAACATTCTGGATTACCTTGTTCACGATCTCTGGGTTGAACGCATCTTTGATGTGCGAACGTCGGATCAGCCGGATGGATACAGCCAAGTTTCGCACCAGCAGGTCATCAATGCAGACAAACGTCTTTTTGTGAAGCTTGCGGAGATGACGCGCGGCGGTATCCAATTGCAGGCATCAGGGAGGCCCACTGACTCTGCTTTCAGAAGAGCGATGGAACATCCGGACGTCAACCACTTGTTGCAGCCATTGCCCAAGCGCTTGGTGGAATCCAGTCCGTCGAAGAGACCAGCAGATGTTCCAGACGCATCTAAGTATCCGGCCAGGTTCCAGAAGGGCAAATCCAAGGGCAAAGGTGGTGCAGGGTCGCGAACTGTGCGTATGCCAGAAGCTCTTCGCGATGGTACTCCCAGTACCAAGGCTGGCAATCCCGTATGTTTCGATCACAATCTGGATGGTTGCCACTTGCCAGTGCAACAGAACCGATGCAGGAAGGGCTTGCATGTTTGCTGCTTCCGGAATTGTGGGAAGATGGACCACACGTATAAGACTTGCCCCTTGCGGGGGCAGGCGCAATCCTGACTAAGGAAATATGATGGTGCATGGAATTCAGGTGGTCGTGAAGAACATGGCCAACTCCAGAAGAAGCCCAAATTGCATGGGCCTGCTCCAGGAGAGGACTTGAGCACGGGCTTTGCGGAGCCGGCCAATAAGGCTCGTGAACCAAAGCTGGTGCCTTTGATTCTTGAATTGTGTGCAGGGTCTGCCATGCTCAGCAGATGTTTCAAAGACAGTGGATTCGATATTCTTGCGGTGGACCATTCTAAGAATCGCTTCCTGCCAATGGCACGAATCTGTCAGGTCGATTTGCAAAGCAGCATGGTTGGGACTTCCTCAACTATGTCATCAAGTTTCACAATGTTGTTTTTGTGCATGCTGCCCCGCCTTGTGGTACGTGTTCCCGAGCCCGTGAGATCAAGCTTGCCGGACAGTGTCCCCAACCTTTGCGAAGTGAAGCCCAGCCGTGGGGCCTTCCCGACCTGGCCCCAGGTGACCAGGCAAGGGTTGACAGCGCAAACTCCATCTACAAAGGACTTGGCACGTTCCTTGAAGCTTGTTCGCTTGCCAACATTCATTGGTCCGTGGAGAACCCTGAGAGGAGTTTGTTGTGGTCAATCCCTCCAATTAAAGCGCTTGGTGCCAAAGCTTGTTTTTATCTGTTCCAGGGTTGTGCATGGGGCGGGGATAGACCTACCAGGAAAGCCTTCCTTTCCACCCTGCCTGGGTTTTGCCAGCTGCAAGCCGCTTGCCCTGGCCTGTCCCAGCATCATGTGCGCAAGCCTTATGGTAGGACTCGATCCTCAAGTGGTGAGGTGCAATATGCAACTGCCGAAGAGGCTGCTTATCCTAAGCCGCTGTGCACTAAGATTGTCAGCATTGTGCAACAGGGGCTTAACTTGTTTCCCATGCGTGTGGTTTTGTCCGACGGGCCCTTGACCGCCAATATTTCTGGGAATCTTGGAAGCCACAAACAGCCCCGGGGTCGCAAAGTCAAACCATTGTTGTCTGAATTTGCTCACGTGCACCACGTTGAAACAAGCAAACCTTTGTCCTTTGATGCCAAGAATTGCCTTGTGTGTGCCTGCCCTCCTGCCCCAGCAGGAGCAAAACTAGTTGCACTAAATGAGAAAAAGGGAAAATCTGGTGCAACTGAGTTGCGGCTGTACTCACTAGGTGTGTACCGAGAGCCTGAGCAGTGGATTGCAGATGCTGTTTCCATCCAGCATCCTTTCGATTGTTTTCATGCTGTTCCTGATGACCTCTTGAGGGTAGTCTTTGACATGTTGACCTTGGAACCGTTCGTGGTCATCCAGAACAGGGCTGAGAAGTTGTCGCAATGGTTAAGCTGGTCTGACGAGCTTCGTGACAGGGAAAGCGCACTCGCAACTTGAACCGGGGGTGGCTGCCATCCTGGAGGGCAAGAAGTTGCTCCTTCTTGAGCGAATTGCTGCAAGCTTGAACTGGCCTGACATGGCAATTTTCCAGGAAATCCGCGATGGGTTCAAGTTGGTAGGGCTACAGCCACCGTCGGGTATCTTCAGTATTGAGCCGCGACCATCGGCCTTCTCTGCTGCTGAGCTTGATGATGCTGGCAAATTCTTGAGGCCTGCCATCCTGGGCAGGCTCAAAGGCTTGGCCAACGATGAGGATCAAACGGCTTTGTGGGATATTACGTTGCAGGAGTCGAACAATAAGCACTGGATGGATGGCCCACTCAGTTTGCCGGAGGTGGAAGCGCGTCACGGTACGTCTTGGATCCCGGTGAGGAGGTTCGGTGTTTGGCAGAGTTCTGGAACAAAGATCAAGCTCAGGCCAATTGATGATTATTCTGAAAATCGCGTCAATGGTGCGTTTGCATACTCCGACAAGCTGGAGCTGAAGGCACTTGACCAGATAATTTGGATGGCAGCGGCAATTACGAGATCTTGCCGGTGCGGCACAGCATCCTTTGTGCTATCAACGGGTGAGAAGCTGGAGGCGCCCGTTTCAAGGACCCTTCTGGAGGACGAGCTGTGGGATCCCGTTGCAACTGTGCTGGACCTTTCTTCTGCATACAAGCAATTTGCAATACACCCTAATGACAGGAGGTATTCCATCATTTGCATGACGATGCCGAGTACAAAGGAGGTACGCTGCTTCGAGGGGAGGGTTTTGCCCTTCGGCGCCACTGCGAGCGTGGTACACTTCAACCGGATCTCCAGGTTGATTCACCGCATTGGACTGGAGCTGCTACTTCCCTGGGGATGCTACTTTGACGACTTCCCTTTGCTGTCGGTCCATGGGATTGCAGGGAATACTCATGACTGTGCGACTATGCTGATGCGGCTCCTTGGGTTCAGTTTTTCACAAGAGAAGCTCAAGCCCTTTTCCAAAAAGGCTGTCGTGCTAGGGGTAGAAATTGACCTGGAGGATGTTCGGGACAGAGGAGTCTTAGTTCGCAACAAACCTGGCCGTCTTGAAGAAGTGGAAGGTGTTGCTGCCAAGCTCCTGGAAGGTGACCAGATCTCGAATGCGGACTGCAGCAAACTCTTGGGTCGTTTGCAGTATGCTGAGGGGCAGGTCATGGGTCGTGTTGGGAAGCTGGCCATGGCCGAGTTGCGTGAAACGTTCAAGGGGTGCCAACGCTTGATCGCTCTCAGCAAATCTGCAAAGGAGTCTTTTAGAGGACTCTTGAATAGACTGATGAGTGGTGATCCTCGACAGGTACCATGTTCGCCGCCCACTATGCCAATTGTGGTGTACACTGATGGTGCAAGTGATGAGGGCATTCATGCTGTGGGAGGTCTCATCTTTGCTCCATTTTTAGACCGTCCCCGTTTCTTTTCTGTACATGTGCCACGGAAACTGACGGACCATTGGCTGGAGACGATGAAGCACATCATTGGTCCAGTTGAGCTGTATGCCGTTGTTGCAGCACGTTACATTTGGAGACACATACTTGTCAAGGCCAAAGTCATTTGGTACATTGACAGCTTTGTTGCAATGGATGCTTGCATAAAGGGTGTGTCGTCGAACGAAAAGATGAGGCGTTTGCTCTTGGCATGGGAAGAAGCGGAAGCCTTGGGCCATGTGTGGTCTTGGTTCACTCGTGTTCCTTCGAAATCCAACCCGGCTGATGAGCCTTCCCGAGGGTGTCTTGATGGCCTGATTGCAAAGCTTGGCGCAGAACGTGACACGGGTTCTTGCCCGCTTGGTGGTACTCCTTTGCAGCCACTTGACACTTTGTAAGTAATGAAAGTGGGAGGAGGTGGCAAAGCGTCAAGTGCCTGAGGCACATGATGATGGTCACTCCCCATGATGGAAAAGTGTGTTGCATTCACAAGGGAAGGCATTCACCTTGCAAAGTGGCTGAATCTTGTCTTTGTGAGATAGGTGCACTTTGCACTGTTTGGGTTCCCTACTCGGTTCCTGTCGTTGGGAAACCCTCTCCCCCTGTTTGCGTGTTGTGTTTAAAGGGTTCAAAGGTAATCTGGGCTTGCCCTGTTCCCTTTTAACCCTTTTAAAGTGCGAACCTTTGTGAGCCACAACACGCAAGGGAGAATGGAATGATTTGAGTTTTCACCTAGCCTTTTGGCTCTTAGGGTGGGAGTGGTGGGAAACACGATAATACATCGTGGCATTTGCACCCGCCCTCCCGTCCCCTTTGGCAAAGCGTCAAGCGCCTGAGGCACATGATGATGGTCACTCCCCATGATGGAAAAGTGTGTTGCATTCACAAGGGAAGGTATTCGCCTTGCAAAGTGGCTGAATCTTGTCTTTGTGAGATAGGTGCACTTTGCACTGTTTGGGTTCCCTACTCGGTTCCTGTCGTTGGGAAACCCTCTCCCCCTGTTTGCGTGTTGTGTTTAAAGGGTTCAAATCAACTTGTTTCACTCCAACTTGAACTGGTCAGCAGGACTTATCCACAGACACCGCTAACCGTTTCATGTCTCAACCCAAGACCTTGGCGAGCCAAAACACGCGTTGCTTGTGCGCGTCGTGGGCCCAGACAGGCCCAAAGGCCCAAGCAAACAGACTTGAACATTGCTTCCAGTGAGAGGGCTAGTTTCACATGTTGTCGCACATTTTTCTCATGGTCGAACTAGTCGATAAGACTTATGCATAGACACTGTCGACTATTTCGAACCGTCAAGCACATGTCGAGGACATGGCTGAGCAAAAAGAAGAAGTGAAAGGTAAGGGAGTCCGACCAGCGGTAGACCCCGCAAGTCACGGCAAGTTGGACCTAACAGTGAAGCAAACGCTTGCGAAACTGCGCAATCAAGCCCTGGAGAGAACTTGCAGAGAGCTTGATTCTCGAAATTCGTCCCACAGCTTTGGCTCTATCATATCCTGTTGAGACCTTCAGTTCTTGAGTCTGACGCTGCGGCCTTACGCGCAATCAACCGCGAACGCATTCATTGCACCGCGCCCAGGCCATGGACGAAACTCCTCGTGCCCGAGCGTTGGTTCTGCAGGCGCGGGACCGCCGCCTGGCTCTTATCGAAGCGCTAGCTCCTGTCAGGCTCTTGAGGGGAAACGCCTGCCGCCTCTTCCGGCAGAGGTGCTGGTGCGCGGGAACTCAGATCTTCGCACCGAGGCAGGGGGCCGCGCAAAGCTTGTTTAGAATTGGAACTGTAGTGCGCCAGGCTGAAGTGGCCTGGTGGCGTGTTCGCCAGCTACTGGCCCACGCTTTACCTGCCTTCCACTTGGTGCTGGAGCTGGGAAGGGTGCGCGACACTTTGCTTGCTCCGCCCCGAGGCCCTATCCCACCTTGGAGCGGTCCGTGTCAGCTGGGGGCCGCTTCCGGACGCACGCGAGGCTGGTAGGAGGATAGGGGGCGGTCCACAAAACATGCGCGTGTCTGTGCGCGCAAGGATCGCCTGATGTGGCACTCGCGGGGCGGGGTCCGCCACACGGACCCCATGAACTCCGTGTACTCCGAGGTGTGGGCCGCGCTGGACCTCGGGGGCGCGCTGGGCCTCCCGCACTGGACCAGCGCGGAAACGCGGGGGGACTTGCTTGAGGCAAGGGTGAGGCTTGCGCGCTCGCCCGCCCCTCCCGCTCCGCCAGGTTGTGCTGGGGGTGAACTTCGTGCTGCAGACGCAGGTGCGGCGCCACCCTCTTCTGCCTCGGTTCGCGCACGCGGCGGGCGTGCTGGAGGAGGCGCCGCTTGCGGTCGAATCGGGGGGTGGGGCGCACGCCTGATTGTGATTGGCTAGGCGGTGGAGCTGGTGCTGGACCCCGGGATGCGTGGCTGCCACGACGCTGTCCGCAAGTTGCCGGATGTTGCCGGAGCCCCAGCCCTCATCGCCGCCTAAATATGCTTGGGCGCGTCAGGTGCATCCGCACTCCTGGTGAGCGGGCCCCGGCCACCACAAAGCTGCTCGGCGAAGACTTCTCAATTTGCAGTCGCCAGCAAAAAGAAGGGGAGCGCAGGGCGAGCCGAGGGATTGGAAATTTGGTCGCAGAGGTTTGAACAAGCTTTCAAGGTTGCTGTCGAGAATTGCGACACTCTCCAAAGCGTTCCCAGCCCAATTCGGACGCCCAGAGCTTCAGTCTGACCTCAGACGCCATGCCGCGCGTCTGCTCTGGGCTTGCGCTGGAGGACGGCGCTGCCACGATGAGGTGCATCTTTGCGGAGAAGAAGAGCGGCCAGCGCTCCCGCGCGGGGCCCAGCGGGAAGTGCTGCCCGCGGCCTGCCGGACGGAGAAGGGCCAGAACAGGGCTGTCCAGTTGCTACGCGCCTTTCGCAAGGTCTACGAGGACAAGCCGCGCATCTACAACTCCGCGATGATGCGCCGGAGGAGCTGCGGGAGGACCTCCGCGCGCGGGCGCTGGCCGGGGCTCGCCCGCCCGCACGCGTGCCGCGCGGAAAGAGCGCGGCAGACTCCGCGGCCGCGGCGGCGGCGGCGTGGGACGCGCAGCTGGCGTCGCGGAAACGCGCCTTGCGCCCCCTCGGCAAGAAGAAGCGGACGGCCTACAAGAAGCGGCGGACGGCAGACCGGAGCCGAGTTGTCAAGAAGTTCTACGTCGACCAGGGCCTCCCGCCGCCGGCTCCCGAGGAGGCGCGCGACGTCGCGGAGAACGACTGCGGGCTCCCGGCGCTGGAGGGCGGCGAGCGGGCCAACTTCGTGGAGGCCTGGTGCAAGCTGGGCTCTTGGGGCGTTTGCGGCAAGTGCCACTCGCTGCCTATCTACAAAGGTGCTCAGCTCTACCTCACAAAGAACGTTCGCAAGAAGGATGACTACGTCGACGGCATGCTGTGCTATGTGGAGGCTTGGTCGGAGACCAGTGGCGCTCCGCGTCCGGACCAAGACAAATCGGCGACTCTACATCACCTCATGGACGGACGTGGAGCGCGGCAACATTGCCTGCTTCCCTATTCGCTTGGGCTACGCCTCCACAGTGCAGAAAGTCCTCGGAGACGAGGTGGAACACATCACGGTCTGGCTGGACACGCCAAACTTGCCGGCCGTGGCCTACACAGCCTTGAGCCGCGTGGAGCGCTCCACCGCGTACTCCTTGGCGGGCAAGCTCACCGCGGCCCACTTCACGCCGGCAGTGGAGCAGTGAAGGACCGCGGGGCGGCAGCTAGTTTCATAGCGCCACACGAAAAAACAATCAGCGCGATTTTTCGTTCAAGTTACCAACTTCTGCTCAACTTGGGCGGGTTCTAAGGAAGCCCTTTTTGAAAAAATAAAAATAGCTCGCCTCTCAGGCTCCGAAAAGACGGGCAAAGCTGGCCAAATGTCCGACACGAGTCGCGCGAAAACCATATGAAAAACGCAGTCCCGAGCTGGAAGGAGCTTGTTCGAAGCTTTTAGCTGCTTCTGCTTTGATAAAACGGCCATTGGAGCTGGCCTTGATAGCTGAAAATGGCTTGGCCAGAAGCTTTTAACTGCATCTGCCTTGATAGAACGGCCATTGGAGTTGGCCTTGATAAAACGGCCATTGGGCCGGCTGTTGCTGAAAATGGTTTGGCCCGGCCGCTGATAAATTGATTGCGCGGGATAATGTGGAACTTGCAATCCGTGGCTCAAATGTGGATGTCTGGCCATTTGGCTGCTTCTGCCTTGATAAAACGGCCATTGGAAGCGGCCAAATGGCCAGATCTCTAGATTTTGGCTGCGGATGGCCGATTTCATATTGCCCCGCACAAGCAGTTTATCAACGGCCAGGTTGAGCCATTTTTAGAAAGAGCTGGCGAAGCGAGTGGCCGCTTTATCAGACCGGCCAGCCGCAGTAGCCGCTTTATCAAGGCCGGCCAGCCTCAATGGCAGTTTTAGCAACAGCGGCCGCTTTATCAAGGCCGAGGACCAGGCCAGTGGCCGCGATGGCCGTTTTATCAACCAGGAGCGGCCACATGGCCAGATAGATCTCTTAGATTTGAGCTGCGGATGGCCGATTTCATATTGCCCCGTACAAGCAGTTTATCAACGGCCAAGTCGAGCCATTTTTAGAAAGAGCTGGCAAAGCGAGCGGCTTTGGCTGAAAATGGCTTGGCCTGCTCATTGTGCGGGGTAAATGGCTGAAACTGGCCATCCGCGGCAGAATCTAGGGCCCTGATCATTTGGCAGCTTCTTGTACAAAATTGCTTCACCGTTAGAAATTGCTTCCAGCGTTTTAGTAAAGCTGCAGTTCCCAAATGATGTAGGAGTTCGAATGGCCAGCGTATCAAGGCCAATGGCCAGTTTATCAAGGCCAATGGCCGTTTTATCAAGGCGGGCTTGAAAACACGACAGCTGTCCAAACAGATTTCAAGCGGGAGCCGTCCGACTTTCATGTTTGCAGTTTAGGGTATACAACATAAGGATTCTTTGAGGATGCCCGTAAGGCAAGGCTTGGATTCCAGCTAGAAGCCTCCAAGCTAAAGCTTGTCGGCCGCCATCGGCCGTAAAAGGATGAAATGCAGACGCGCCCTATTCATGGGCGCGTTAGAGAACCAGTGGCGCGCTACGCGTCAGGACCAAGACCAACAAGCGACTCTACATCACCCCGTGGACCGACGTGGAGCGCGGCAATGTTGTCTACTACCCCATTCGTCTAGGCTATGCGTCCACAGTGCAGAAGGTGCTTGGAGACGAGGTGGAGCACATTACAGTCTGGCTGGACACCCCGAACTTGCCGGCGGTGGCTTACACAGCGCTGAGCCGCGTGGAGAAGTCCAACGCGTACTCCTTGGCAGGCAAGCTCACTCCTGCTCACTTCGCGCCAGCGGTGGAGAAGTGAAGGACCGCAAAGGGAACGCAAACAGGCGCCCCAAGAATGAGCGAAACTGTGTGACAAACAAGCCTGTCAAAGGCTAGTTTCATATGACCCCACACGAACAAGCGGTTTAATCAAGGCCGGCCGTTGTTTTAAGGCGGCCGAAGCGATGGCCAGCTTATCAAAGCCAATGGCCGTTTTATCAAGACGCTGCAAAACTGGCCAGATCTGTAGAATTAGGCAACGCGTGGCTAC